GAGCTCAAAAGCTACGGAATATTGGACCGACCTTAACCATTATTTATTGGACTTCGACCTTAAAGTAGGTACATAACATTGCGTTACGCGTTACGCCTGCTTCCCATAGTGCAAGAAAACCTTGATCCTAAAACAAGATTTAAATTACGAAACCAAAAAGGAAAAAAATAAATTCAATACATTTTGCAACATTGTGCTTCTGATTGATGAAAAAGAACCTCTTAGCATTGACCTCAGCAGTCCTTTTTTCAAAAACATTAATATTCCTTGTAAACAACAAACAACAAGAACAACACTATAAACCATTATATGCCATAAACAACAATACATTGTTGTGCTTGCAACACAACCTCATACATCAATGGAGTCATACTAGTACATGAGGAGTCTCCTACCCATACATACTTTTAAACATAAATTAATGTTGCATGCGCTACCAACAGTGTTGTTGGTTGTTGCATAGTTATTTACAAAAAATCTATTTCCACATTGTATAAAAGAAAATCGTTTTTAAAAAAACTTTTTCCATATGAACTGCTAATGTTGTTTTTATAATTTTTTCCTTCTGTTTTCCATATTTAAACCGCGTGAAATTGCAAATGTTTGTTTGGCTCGTTTGCATTTTAAATTGCACTGTTGCCAATTTAGCTATTTTCTCGTCAAATCTAGCGATTTTTAATCCCATTTTGCGGGGAAAAATATGATTTAGCTATTAGCGGGAAATCTAGCGATTTTTCTTTAGATTTTAAGGCATTTTTTATTCATTTATATTTTGATAATATCGCTTACAAGTTGCTACGAATGACGATATTTACATATATGTATGTATGTATGTATATAAAAATATGCATTCAATGTAAATTATTTGAGTTTTTGCTGTGTGTTTTATACTTATTTTGAATATTCTGAAGAACATAATTAGGAGCAAATATTTGTGCGTACAGGTAAAGTTATACGAAAAACTTTAAAAGGGGTATATTTTGTTGTACTCAATTAAAAAACGAATATTTAATTATTCTAGTCTTTTAGTAAATGAGTGATATGATAATAAAATTTACCATAATTCTAAAAATTAGTGAACATTGGAAATAAGTGACGAAAGGATCGATCCATAAAGTCCTAAGAATTTACCACATTTCTAAGGCGTATAGGGCCGCATATCGATATTGCAGATAAACTTCCCACAAAAGAGTGTATAATAATAACCTTGGGTGCCCCGGTAGGCTGGTCTGCTACACTACAACGGTCGTATGGTTATCGTCACCCTGCTATTAAATTAGATTAGAATATAATTTGTAATTGTATTGTAATGGAAAAATAAATAATACTCTTATGCCGAAAATAAAGGATCGATCCATAATGGCCAGCATTTCGAAATTCAATTTATCTTTACAACATTTCTAAAGCAATCTGTATAGGGTCGCATATCGAAATTAAACTCAACTTGACATTTTTCCTAACCCAAAGTGAAAATATTTAACATAAAAAAAGATTCTCTTATGTGTTTGTTATAAGATATGTTTGTATCACTATCCCATTCCTACGTATGTATATAGATTTTAGCGATAAATCGCTGACTTTTTAGAATAATATAAAAAATCTGAAAAATTTAGCTAGTTTTTTTAGCTATTTCTTTTCAGAATCATATAATAAATATTATTTTGACGATTTATCGCTAAATTTTTCAAAATGTCTTGAATTTAGCTATTTTCTAGCTATTTTTCAGTCGACTTTAGCGATATTTTTGGGAAAAAAGTTGGCAACAGTGTTAAATTGGTTTGTGCCTCCACATTTAGTACAACTGCAACAACCATAATAATAACTGCAACCAACCAACAACAGCAATATATGCGTCTATATTTGTGGTGCGATCGATGATGATCCAGTATGTACGATTTGTTGTTGTTAGTTGCAGTTGTATGCAGCAGTACAACGATCATACAAAACATTGTAGGCTGAATGGCTGCAGGGCTGAGTTGAACATTAGATTTTCTGTTGTTGTTGCTGTTGTTGTATAAACTACGCATATGTTTTTGTAATAACAACAAAAACACCATCTATGTAATAATAGTGCTATTGTTGTTGTAGCAATAGTCTCTGTTCAAGTATGAACACGTGCCTGGAATACCAAAGTGACTTGTGTAAATTGTAAAAATTGACTTTTAACAAAAACCATGCAACAACAACAACAAAACCAGCATAGTATGTATGATAATATTGGTTGTTGGTAAAATGTTGCTGTTTGGTTCTCTTGTCTATTTTAAACAAAAAAATTTATAAATTATTGTGGAAATTTTAAAAATTTCATTATACAGGGTGTTTGCTTTTAGAGTTAAAATAAATATGTCTGTAGTTTTATTTTCTTATTGTCAATATTGCACACATGTGGTTGGAAAACTGTATTTAGCACGAAGATTTCTTAAACGAATTCGAATTTACAAATAACGTAATGGGAAACATATTACGTGTTTCAACTTCCCTCAAAATAATAAAAATAATAGATAGATAGATAGATAGATAGATAGATAGATAGATAGATAGATAGATAGATAGATAGATAGATAGATAGATAGATAGATAGATAGATAATAGATAGATAGATAGATCGATAGATCGATAGATAGATAGATAGATAGATAGATACTAAGTAGTAGATAGATAGATAGATAGATAGATAGATAGATAGATAGATAGATAGATAGATAGATAGATAGGATAGATTAGATAGATAGATAGATAGATAGATGATAGATAGATAGATAGATAGATAGATACGATAGATAGATAGATAGATAGATATGATGATAGATAGCTAGATAGATAGAGATAGATAGATAGATAGATTGATAGATAGATAGATAGATAAGATAGATAGGATTAGATAGATAGATAGATAGCTAGATAGATAGATAGATAGATAGTAGATAAGATAGATAGATAGATAGATAGATAGATAGGATAGATAGATAGATAGATTAGATAGATAGATAGATAGATAGATAGATAGTAATAGATAGATCGATAGATAGATAGATAGATACGATAGATAGATAGATAGATAGATAGATAGATAGATAGATAGATAGATAGATAGATAGATAGATAGATAGATAGATAGATAGATAGATAGATAGATAGATAGATAGATAGATAGATAGATAGATAGATAGATAGATAGATGATAGATAGATAGTAGATAGATAGATAGATAGATAGATAGATAGTAGATAGATAGATAGATAGATAGATAGATAGATAGATAGATAGATAGATAGATAGATAGATAGATAGATAGATAGCTAGATAGAGTAAAGTCGTATTATCTACCAATTTTTCCCATTTATCTACATATATCTTAAGGGTCTTGTGACTATTTACTTGTTTACCAAGTATTTAAATCTGTTAATTAACATCATTAAGATTAGGACTATAGACTAGATTAGAGAATAGGACATAGGTCCATAAATTGTCCTACAATCCATAGAATGTATCCTTCAGAAAATGACTTAACGCTCGTTACGGACTTAATAATGCCATAATAAAAGAAGTTTTGTAAGAGCGAAATTATGTCTACCAAATTTTATGAGGACTCCCTCCGAAATTGACTTTTTACGACATATGATTTGATGGAGGGTATATGTATAAGATTCGTCATGGCCGAATGTAACACTCTTACTCCAACGTACGTTTCAAAACTCCACTTTCTACACTTTTAAGAAATCTTTTCAATGAGGATCTGTTTGTAGAGGTTAAATAAGGGAATAACAAAAAAACAATTAGCGGCACTTTCCATATGCATTTTGAGGATTTCCGAAAAACTATTTTTGTTAATATTTTTGGATATTAGCTTTAATTCCTTACTGTTAAGCAGGAATTGACTTATAATGAAAATAGGTTGGATATAGTGTAGTTCCCTGTTATTGCATCTGCAGTTGTATTTATGATGGCTGAAGCCAAATCGACTTGCAAGTCTGCCTTTCATCAAATGTCCATTTAGTACTTCCAGTAAACCTCTATAAATCCCGTTCATTATGGGTTATATATTGTATAGTGCTTTTTTATCGTAAGAGGGTCACATTAAGTAGACCGCTAAATAATAACACAATTTTTTTAGTTTTTTTGTTTTATTTTTCAAATTTTTAATAGATTTTTTATTATTTTTAAAAATAATAATCAATGAATCAATCAATATTGTTACAGTTTACGAGTACAAGTAGAGAGAGAGAGTTGTTGTTTGTAGTAGTAGCTTTTAACTATTACTACTAAAAATTATTATTTATTAAATTTAGTTCATTTACAAAAAAATTATAAAATTACAAAACAAATGAAAATGTATACATTTATTTGTTAAGAGGGGTTTTAAAATTTATAATTTTTCTTTATTAAGCTTAATTATTAATGATGACAAAGTTGTTGATATGCAGCAGATATTCTTTAATTATTACTTTAACTGTAAAGTCGTGGGGGGCGGGGTTTGCTAAACATATTATAGATGGCAGCACAACACCTTCATTTTTTTTTTTTTTTTCTTTGAAACGTTATTAAACGCTTGTTTTTCAATTTTTTTATTTTAATTTTATAGTATTATAATTAATTATTATTATAGCAAATATTTACATTAAGTAAAATTATTTGTTGTTTTTTTTAATATTTAAGATTAATATTTATTTTTTAAGTTAATAATAATTTGTTAAAATAATTAAGGTAATATTTTAGAAATTATAGAAAAGGAGACAAAGAGGGAGAGTTTTTTTTAAGAAAAATAATACATTAAAGAGATTTTGTTGTGGAAATTGGAAATCAAAACGATTTCAAAACGGAAACACTTTTTTTTTAATCGTTAAAGTTTTTGAAATTTTTTTTAATTTTTTATTTACACTTAGAAAAATTTGTGAAACAGTTTTTTGTTGAAATTTTTTAAATGTTTTTTTTTAGAATTTTATGTTTTTTATTTATTTATTAAAGATCATAAACAAAAAGTTGAAAGAAAAGAAAAAATAGTACAACAAGACAACAAATTTATTTATTTTAATACAATAAATTAAGAAAGTTTTTTCAAGGGTCAGTTTTACAGTGCTTAAGGTTAAGTTTACAAGTATATCATTTAAGTTATTAAGAAAAGTTTAACACTAATGTTTGTTTTATAATGTTTTGGAATTGATATTTACAAATTAATTCATATGATTTTAAACTTAGTTTAAACTGAGCTTGTAAAACTATAGAATTAAGTAAAAATAAGTTTTAGTCAAAGTTAATCAAATAGAATTTAAGTTATTTTCTAATAAGCATATCATGATCTAGACATTTAAAAATTCCTTTTACTGTACTTTAACTGAGTTTAAGAAACTAATTTAACTACCTATTAAACTTTTATCATATTGATTAAATTTAAAACGCATTCCTCTCGTTAATATAGTAAATAAATTAAAGTTTAATTAAGATTTATTTTCTTATTACACTTCTTTAAACTTTTCGATTTCATTTAAAATAGTTTAAGCTTTGTCTCTTAGTTAAACCTAGTTTAAGTTAATTGAAGTTTTCAGTTAAATTACTTTTACATTTATAACCTGCTTACTTACACTAATCCCAAAAATCAATTTTTTATATGCCACAGACACATATATTTAGTAATTTAAGCCTTTATAATTATAACCAAGTTTAAGTTTTTTTTCCTTGTTTCAGAGATTACAAGTTTAATTTAAATATAAACATTAAATTGTTTAAACTACATTATGAAAATACCACTACTGTTTTCTGTTAGTTAATCATAATCCTTTTAGTCCATTTCTCTTTAAACTTAGTTTAAATTAACATCCAGCAATCTAATTTCTTAATCTTTGAAAAAAACTTAGTTTAAATTTAATAATTTCTAAAATTTTTGCCTTTAATAATTCTTAAGCAATATTTATTTCAAAATTTAGTTTAATTTTAATTTCTCCATTTAATCAGTTATTTAAGGTTAATCTTTCTATAGTAGTTCTAAGCTTAAACCTAGAACTGAGAAAATTCAAACCTTATAAAAATATTTCAAAGTTTTTTTTTTAAGAAAATATGTTAATAAAATTCTTTACGTTTAATTTTACTTTTTTTCGTTTAAACTAAGATTAAGTTAATATTGTTTTAAACAAGAATTGAGTTAATTATATTTAACCTTGGACAATGTCTTGTATTGCTTAATAAACTTTATCTTTTAAACTAGGTTTAATTTTTAAAGAAAACCTAAATAATTTTTATTTCAGTTAAACTACGGTTAAGTTAACTTTTGCAAAGCTCAGTATTGTTTAAAATATTTAAATCGTTTTAAACCTAGTTTAATCTTATTTTAGTAAACAAAAGAAACACCATCTGTTAGAGCAAATGTAACTATAATTTAACTGCTAAACCTGGTTTAAATATAAAGTTTATAATTATACACACAGTCAAGTAGATTAAAACATATTTAAACTTATATTTTAGAACTAAATTCTCGAAAAACTTGGATTCTATTTTAACAAAACCTGAAGCGATTTATTTAGTTGAGTTTCATTCTAACTTTTTAAACGTTTTTAATCTACTGCTCGTAGTATAGTTAAAGTTTTTATTCTGAATTATAGTTACAGTCCATCGGTTAAAGTCAAGATCTTATCTAACAAACTTTAACTTTTTATCATTAAACTACGTTTAAACTTGCCTAGTTTTAACTTTCCACGCACTTGATCTAGGATTACATTTCAGTTTTTAAACTTTCAATAAAACAATTGTTTCTTCATTTAAATAATTTTACCTAACTCAGTTTAACTTAAACTTAGTTTTACCTGTTTCTTCCTGCTAAATTATTTAGATTAAATTTTAACCGAATTTGCTCGTCAACTTAAACTATGTTTAACCTGGTATTGTTTTAACCTTCAGCTCACTTGATATAGTTTAACTTTCTACGTACTTGATTTCAGTTTAACTTAAACTTAGTTTTACCTGTTCCATCCTACTAAACTATTTAGATTAAATGTTAAGCAAATTTGATCATAACCTAAAACTATGGTTAACCTTGTATTGTTTTTAACGTTCGGCTCACTTGATCTAGGATTTACATGTCAGTTTTTAAACATTCAAAGAAATTTATTGTATTTCTCAGTTTAACTTAAACTAAGTTTTACTCAACATTATTATTCAATGTAACGGTTAAACATAAACTACGTTTACTTGATCTAAGATATTTACATGCCAGTGTTTTAAAATTTCAACACAAATCTATAATTTTTTGCTTTTTTTTCTCATATTACACTAAAGTCAGTTAACATAAACTTAGTTTTACTTTTCTTTTCCTCTAAATTAAAACTTAGGAGCAATAGTTTTTTTCGTATACATTCAAAAGTGTAAATAGTGATTTGGCTTAATTAAACCTCATTTAATATATAACTTCTTTGCTTTAATTGTTAAAACTGTTTAAACTTTGAATTAAACTGGGCTTAGTTAAACCTGTAATTGAATGTTAGATTATCCCCCATTTTCTCAATATCTGGTTATTTTTTAACTTAACTATATATTAACAGTTTTTATACAAAAGTTATTTAAACTAATATAAGATCTACCGATTAAATAATAACCAAAGATTGAAACAATGGGCCCAAAACTAATAAATCGTTTTTACTTTCAAGACACGTATTATTAAGTTTAAATTATGTTTAAGTTATTCAGATTAAACTAGGTTTAACCTTTGCTTAATTGAATATGCACAATTTTCAAAACGCTCTTAATCTTAGTATAAGTTTTAACTTAATTCTGTTATTGCAAGCTTTACATTTTAACATAATTTTAGTTTAAGTTAAACTTAGTTAAAACTCAATATTAAAAACTGTTTTAACATTTAATCGATATTATGTTCAGTTTAGTTTAAATTCAAAAACCTTAATTGAATTAACATTTTTCCAAAAAAAAACTTATTTTTATAGTCAAATGCAATTTAATTTAAACTCAGTTTAACTTAAACCTAGTTTGGCTAATAATTTAGTATTTTACTAAAACAACGTTAGGTTCAAACTCAGGTTAGTTAAATTTACTATCAGTTTAAACTTAAAAAGTAATCAAATTTCAAATACAAATCCAGCAACTTAATTTAAACTCAGTTTAACTTAAACTTAGTTTAGCTTAAAATTTGTTTTTATACATAAACTACTATAAGCTCAAAATGGTTTAAACTAAGTTTAAAAGACCAAATTTAAAAACACTTTTGTTTTACTTTATACAATAAAATAATTTTTTTCAAATAAAATTTAACCTTACTTAAGCAAAACTGACCCTCATTTTTAGTTAAGATATTCATTCATTTCTTTTACTTTGCATCTTCTTCTTATACATACTCGTTTTAAACAATGTATATTATTGTTAATTTTGTAAAATTTTATTTTAATTTTTTAATTATAAGAATTATATTTTTTTTGTTGTAAATTTTTTAATGTGTTAATTTAAGTATGTTCCAGTTCGTCGTTTCGCTTAAAAGTTTGAAATTTTTTTTTTTGGTTGTGGTTTTTTAGCCAGCCTCTGGCATTTCGGCAGTCAGTCAGCCACCATCTTTTGTTTTAACATTTTGAACTATTTTCCTCAATATAAACATTACCAGATTTTAAAGTTGATGTATTAGTGAATAAACGACGATCATGTTGTAGACTTTGTTGATGTTTATCCGATTTTTCTAAAAGAAAAAAGCAAAAAAACACATACACTCATAAATAAATAATATAAAAATGAGAAATAAATTTTAAGTAAAAAGAAAATAAACATTATATTTTTATGAAAAAAAAAAATTACAAAAACACTCATAAACGTAAAACGTGCACCATAAATTGCACCTTAATAAACATTTATAGACAGTCTACTGATACTTTGGGTTTATTGTTGTTGTTTTCTTAAAAACATAAATTTTATCTACAACCTTTTTTTCCGCAGAGATCCTTTTTTTAAAATTCTATAAATGATTTCTTTTTCTGTTGTTTGTCTCACTGACAACAAAATGATTGGCGACGTGTGGCCATAATCATAAAGAAATTAAATTATTTAACAATAACAAAAACAACTACACCTACAGACCCATAACATTTCATTTTCTTACAAAAAAATCCCAACAAATTATTATGTTTTTTTTTCATTATTTAAAAATAAATTTATGATGAGATTTATTTGTTATTCAATTTCATTGTCATGAGCCAATGACGTACTTCCATTTATGTTTGATTTAAGATATGAATGAGTCTTTTTTTCTTTAGCTTGTTTTAAATAAATATTGTATATTTTTTATGTTTTTATTTCAATATTTAGTTAAATTAACAGGGCAATTTGTTTAAATAGTTATGATAATGTGTTTGTGTTTTTATTCTTTCTTTTTAGGCATTTAAATGCTAATGGAATCAGGTAAGTGTTTTAAAAAGAAATTTAAAAGATTAGTTCTTGAAAGAAATTTATTTAAAATATTCCTTCCCCCTTAAAAATGTAAACAAAAAATTTCCTCTTGAGACACTTAAGCAAAATGTACTTCGAAGTGTGAAGTTTCAATTTAAACTTAATGTGTTCTAGTAGGCACTATGCTTTTATCTCTTGCTTTAGCGGTAAACTTTATATTTTAATTGTCTTGATTTAGTTAGAAGAGCCAAGAGAGATACAGTTGAAATAAATCTAACTTTTATTGAAGAAGTCTCTGGACTATTCTATTGACTGTTTTAAAAAGACTTTTCAATGGACTAGTCTATGGCCTATTCTATTGACTTTTCTAAATGACTAGTCTATTGACTGACTAGTCTATTGATTAGAGTATTGACTAGTTATTGACTAGTCTACTGACTAGACTACTGGCTAGTCTACTGGCTAGTCTACTGACTAGTCTATTGACTAGTCTACTGACTGCTCTACTGACTAGTCTACTGACTAGTCAGTAGACTAGTCAATAGACTAGTCAGTAGACTAGTCAATAGACTAGTCAGTAGAATAGTCAATAGACTAGTCAGTAGAGCAGTCAGTAGACTAGTTAGTAGACTAGTCAGTAGAGCAGTCAGTAGACTAGTTAGTAGACTAGTCAGTAGACTAGTCAATAGACTAGTCAGTAGAATAGTCAATAGACTAGTTAATAGACTAGTCAATAGAGCAGTCTACTGACTATTCTACTGACTAGTCTATTGACTAGTCTACTGACTAGTCTACTAACTAGTCTACTGACTGCTCTACTGACTAGTCTATTGACTATTCTACTGACTTGTCTATTGACTAGTCTACTGACTAGTCTATTGACTAGTCTACTGACTAGTCTATTGACTATTATACTGTCTAGTCTGATTAGTGTATTGACTAATCTATTGACTATTCTATTTACTAGTCTAATGATTAATCTATGAAAAAGTCTATGAACTAATCTACGAACTAGTCTGTTTATTATGATCTAGTTTATTTACTAGTTTAATTACTATTTTTTTGATTAGTCTATGGGCTAATCTATGGAGTCTGTTGACTATCCTATAGACTACTCTATTGACTTGTCTGCGACCAGTCTATATACTAGTCTATGGATTAGTTTATGGATCAGTCTATTGACTAGTTTATGGACTAATCTATTGATTAGTCTGTTCACTAGTATATTAACTACTTGGTGTATTGTCTAGTCTCTGGTGTAGTATGTTGACTAATCTATAGACTATTCTATTGACATGTCTAAGGACCAGTCTATTTACTAGTCTGTGGACTATTCTATTGACTAGTCTGTTGATAGGTCTTGACTAATAATATATGGACTAGTATTATTTATACACTTGTCCATGGACTAGTCTATTTACTGGACTATTGACAAGTGTATGGACTAGTATGTACACAATATGCTTGTATATTGACAAGACTATAGACTAGTCAAGGAGCTAATCTGCTGACTTGTTTATGAACTGGTATATTTGCTAGTATATTAACAAGTCTATGGATTAGTGTATGGAATATTATATAAGCTAGTCTAATGACTAGTCTATGGACTAGACTATAAAATTTTCAACGGTCTTGTCTATGGACTAGTATGTTGGCTGGCCTTTGGAATAGTTTTCTCGAATATATGTATATCGACTAGTCCATTGACTATTCTATTGACATCAAGTAATCATGAAATAGTCTTTGAACTAATCTATTGATTAAGTTATCGATTAGCCTTTGGACTAGTATATGAACTGGTCTTTTAACTAATTCATAGAAAGATCTCTGAACTAGTCTATATAAAATCTATTTAAAATTTTGACAATTTCTTTCCATTTTAATTGATATTCCAAAAAAAAATTCTTATTTGAAAATCTTTATAAAAATTCCCCTCTAAAATAGCATGTTATAAAGCTTGTTTAAAAACTCATCATACTCATGTTGGATCAAATACTAGCCACTCGAAAATATTCTATTTATTGTGACAGCAAGAAAACGAAATTTTCAAGTATGTCAGACTCATCAGTCCATCAGACCAAACAAACAAAAAAAACGAGCTACATGCTGAGTTTGGTGACAATTTAACAATTTACCACAACAAGATGCACTAACACAATCTCTTGATCACAAGCAAAAATAAAGATTTGTAAATTCTTAAGAAAACCTTGAAAAAAGATTAAATTTAAAAAAATATATATTAAGAAACAACGAAAGTATCCCGCCAGGAACATATTCACACAGATGGATGGACAGACAGATGGAAGGACGGACATTGTTACACCCCAACGAAACTCATTAGACACTTTTTATTTATATATATGTATATCTTTTGTTCGTTCCCTAAACCCACTTGAGTTTTATTTTAATCTTGTATTTGTATGTTAATCTTTTTGTAAATATACAACAGAGTTTGAAGTGTCTTTTTTATTTTAGATTCTCTTTTCTAAATCTTTTTTTCTTGAAGTGCTAAACAATGGATTTTCTATAAAAATACACACCCATGAATTTTAAACAGATTTTTTCTGTCTATTTTTGGGAAGTATTTATTTTTCTGGGATTTTTTCAATCATACTTGTTGCATGTGTAAAATGTTATTGCAGCAAGTTGTTTAGGAGGAAGAAAAAAAATACCTGCAAAAGATTTATTATAATTTCAATTCAATTGCACCTTTCCTCTACATTTATAAAGTGTTCTTAAATTATTATAAGAAATTCAGCCATATTATGATCATTGCACTCAATATCTAGTTGTTGCAACTATATTATTATTCAAATGATCTACCTTAACATATTATTAATTTACGTAAACATCTAAATATTTGACTCCACCATTCTCCTCTTTAAACTAAATAAAAAAAACAATCTCTTCTCACCTGGCAACATAACATGTTGTGGTTGATGAAATGTTGTTGCTGTTGTCAATGCTGCTGTTGACGTTGGTATCCTTAAAGCATCCGCATTACCAATAAAGAATGTACCACCCTCTAAACTTTGTACCTCGGCCAATTTGGCCATGAGTTTTGTTGAAAGTTCTTCGACATCTGTAAGAGAAAGAAATCCAATAAATTTTCAATAAATCAATATTATTTATAGTTAACTGCAAAATAAAAAAAAAAAGAAAACATTACTACAGCTATAAATATTTTTCATAGAGTTTAACATTAAACACATGTTATTTTTGCAAATGCCCAATTGTCTGTCAGTCAGTTAGTCAAACAGCCAGGGGCAGTTTGGCCATTTTCTCTTTTTTTTGTGGTTTTAATTGGTTGTATGTTTTATAATAATTTTCGCACTTCATTAGTTTTGATTATGTGCCAGGTTGAAACATTCTTCTATAAACTTTTGAAATGTTTAAAAAGAAATTATTAGAAAAAAAATAGGCGGTGGAATGAAACCATTTGATCCAAGGGGGTTTTAACAGCCGATTTCAATTATTTTATCGATCGTCTATGAACTAGTATTTATTAGTAAACTATTAAGAAATAACCACTTTGCATTCAAGTTTTCAAATCCCTTTGAATGTTTTAATACTTCTAATAGTATACTTTACCTATTGTGGTTATGATACCCCAGGGGTCATAACATGTAACGGTTTGTTATATTTTAACTACAAATAAATGAAACGATCTTAATCGAACCTTTTCAAGCTTTAAATGTTAACTTCTCTTGATAAAAGTTTAATTGGAACCCAGGGGACCTTGACCGCACTACTAGATAGAACTCTTTCTAGTCAACAAATCAGTCAATAGAACACAGACTAAACCATAGACTGCCCATGGTCTAGTCCATAGACTAGTCTAGTCAATTGGCTAGTCCATACAATAGTCCCCAGTCTATTTAATACTCATTAGTCGTTAGAATAGCCTTCAGTCTAGTGAATAGTTTAGTCCAGACAAAAGAATAGACCACAGTCTAATAGGGAAGTCAACAGAGAAGTCCATAGACTTGTCAAGAGTCTAGTCCATAGATTTGACAAGAGTCTAGTCAAAAGTTTAGTAAACAAACTTATCATAAACTAGACTTCAGTCTAGTTAATAAATCAATAAACAGATTAGTTCATAGAATAGTACTCAGTCTAGACATTAGTCTAGTCCTTTGACTAGTTAATACATTACTCAATAGACTAGTTCATTCTGTAGCCAACATAATAGTCCATGGACTTTTATATAGTCCAGTAAAACCTTTACTTAATAGATTAATTCATAGAATAGTCCTCAGTCTAGTCATTAGTCCAGTCCATTGACTAGTTAATATATTATTAAATAGACTAGTTCATGTAATAGTCCACAGTTTAGTACATAGTCTAATAAAAATTTAGTTACCAGATCAGGTCACAGAGAAGTCCTCAATATAATCCATTGTCTAAATAGTTAACAGATTAGTCAATTTAGTCGACAGATCAGTTCATAGACTAGTCCTTAATCTAGCCCATTGACTGGTTAATAGATTAGTCTATAGAATATAGTTCATAGAATAGTATACAGTCTAGTCCTTGGACTTGTAAATAGTCTAGTAAAAAGTAACGCAAAAATAAACCAGTTTATACTATAGTCGATAGATAATTCTATAGACTAGTCCATGGAAAAGTCCTTAAGTTAATCAAGAGATTAGTCAATAGATTAGTTCATAGACTAGTCCATAAAATGGTACTCAGTCTAATTAAAAGATTAATCAATTGACTAGTTAATAGATCTGTTTAAAGACTACACTGAAAGAAAAACGCTTCGTAACCCCAATGAAACTTTTACGTTAACCTTGTCTTTTACGTTAATGCAATGAAAAGTTTCGTTAATGATACGAAATTTTACGTTTTATTTAGGAAAATTACGTAAATATAACGATTCAGGCCGAATTAGTATTTTTGTCATTTCGTCGTGTCATTGATGCTACAAAACTTTTTACGTTTATATTACGTAAAACTTTAACCTAAGATTTAATGTACAAATTGAATATCAAATGTGTCCCAAATAATTTGTTCATACAATAGTCTACAGTCTAGACCATAAACTAGTTAACAGATTAGGTCATAGACTAGTCATTAGTTTAGTCAAAATACTAGACCATAATCAATATATTAGTCAGTAGACTAGTCCATAGGCAAGTTCACTGACTAGTCAGCAGATCAGTTCATCCTCTGGTAAATAGTCCATGGAGTAGTCCATAGTCTTTTCAAAAGTCTATTCCTTAGACTAGCTTTTGGACCAGGCCCTAAACTGGTCAGTAGACTAGTCAATAATCAAATTCCTGGTTAATGGAGTATAAAAATTTTCCATAAAGAAAAAAAAAATTTCTAAAAATTTCAAGAATAGAAAACAAAAAAAGTACTTCCTTTCTTAATACGTTTAGGCCAAATATAAATGTTTTCTTGTTTATGTTTTATACAAATTTTCTTCTATTTGCTGCCCTGATTTCCTCTAAGAAATTTCCTCAAATAACAACAACAACAACTATAAAGTGATTTTAATGTATACATTAAAAAGATTTGTTTTTTCGTATAAAAACCAAAAACGAATTTCAAAGATACAAAATAGAATCTGCTGAAAACAAAGCAACAACACAAATTGCTTTAGAATTTATTTTTCAGCTGAAGTTAATAAGAATAATTATTGTTTATAGCAAATGTTTAAACACTTTATTATTAATATAGAAAATTTTCTTATGTTTTGTATAGTTTTTGTTATTTTTGTTTTCAGTAATTTAGAAAAGGAAGTTTATTTAAAGAAATAAACTCTTACGTTTAAATATAAGAGTTCATTTGTTTAACTATTTATCTTTTGAATGAAATATAAATGTATATGGCCAATAAAAAAACATATAATGAACTGTGTAAACACATTTAAATTCTATGAATTTTCTATAAAAGAAAAATTTAGCAAAAAATTGCAAAATCATTTTTCATTTGTTTTAACCATAAAAGAACATTTTTTTATAAATTTTTATGAATGGATAAGCTATAATTTATAACAGAAAAAATACACTTGCATGATATCCAAAAGTAAGTTTTAAATAAAAATATAAATCTATATTTGTCATTGAATTAATGATTTTTCATTATTAAACAAAAATGGCTGAAAATAAAATACAACGTAAAAAAACTCTTAAAAAGGGGGTTTATTTATTTCTTTAAATAGCTAAGTAGAATCAATGAATTGTATAGAGAACGTCATCATTGATCACACTTGCCTACTATACAGTCAATCCGTCAGCTATACATTCATTCACACATTCCTTTCAAAATTTATGACAAATGTCTACAAACGACACCACATTTGTGACATTAATTTTGAATATTTTTGTTTTTAGTTTTTTTTATTCCAAATATTTTAAATAGTTTTTTTTTGTTGTTGTTGTATTTTACCCTTATTAGAGATATGTTTTTTAGGATACCGGAAGTTGTTATTTGTTTTAATAGTGTTGTACTTTTTGTTATTAGTTTTTGGCTACATTTTGTTTTAGTTTTGTTTTTATTCATGTTTTTGGTTTTAATTTTTGTTGTATATCTCATCAGCCTTAAAAGATATTATGCATTGAATACGTGACTTTACCTGTTATAGTTTTGTATTGAAATATTTTCTAAGCCATTCCTTTTTGTCGTTTTTTTATTTTTGGTTATTTAAAAATGATAATTATCAAACTGTATTTCCGGTTTTAGATTGAATTAAAACAGAATTTTGTTTTAACAATATCTTCTTTTACAATATCTGTTATAGATTTTAAAGAAAGATTCTGTAATCCACCTTGAAATAGTATTTAAATTTTTTATCTAAAATTTATCATTAATTATAGCCTTCAGCTTCGTGAGAATTTCCAAAATACCATCGTATAAGGATCATATTCCAGATCCTTATAGATAGCGTAGTGTTTTAAGTGTTATCAATCTATCTATCTATCTATCTATCTATCTATCTATCTATCTATCTATCTATCTATCTATCTATCTATCTATCTATCTATCTATCTATCTATCTATCTATCTATCTATCTATCTATCTATCTATCTATCTATCTATCTATCTATCTATCTATCTATCTATCTATCTATCTATCTATCTATCTATCTATCTATCTATCTATCTATCTATCTATCTATCTATCTATCTATCTATCTATCTATCTATCTATCTATCTATCTATCTATCTATCTATCTATCTATCTATCTATCTATCTATCTATCTATCTATCTATCTATCTATCTATCTATCTATCTATCTATCTATCTATCTATCTATCTATCTATCTATCTATCTATCTATCTATCTATCTATCTATCTATCTATCTATCTATCTATCTATCTATCTATCTATCCTATCTATCTATCTATCTATCTATCTATCTATCTATCTATCTATCTATCTATCTATCTATCTATCTATCTATCTGTCTATCTATCTATCTATCTATCTATCTATCTATCTATCTATCTATCTATCTATCTATCTATCTATCTATCTGTCTATCTATCTATCTATCTATCTATCTATCTATCTATCTATCTATCTATCTATCTATCTATCTATCTATCTATCTATCTATCTATCTATCTATCTATCTATCTATCTATCTATCTATCTATCTATCTACATACTTGTTTCATTATATGTAATTTTATCATACACCAAGGAAAACCTTCAAATTTTCTCAAGAAAATGCCATAAATTTAAACAGAATTAACCAAATCTGCCTGCAAAGAATGTTTATGTTAAAAACATATAAATTTAGAAACCAATAAAATATTGAATTTAAGATACAAATCTACACTAAAGATTACTAGCAATACATCAATCATTAATAAAACTCACACCCGCTCGATCATCAAGCAATCGAACATACATATTCTGAAGAAATTCTAATCAAATATACAACATCGATCTCATAGCCGAAAAAAGCACAGAAACAGGCACAAGTTACAAGCTAAAGAAACATGTGTCTTCAAAATGTCATAAATTTTGTATTTGGCAAAAACTGTTGAAAAAATAAGTCGCACAAAAAAAAGAAATCAGAAAACTTAAAACAACAACAAAAAACAATAAATATTGTCCAGGGATTTATTCAGTTGTCGTTGTTGTCGACACCCATAAAATTTGAATACCAAAAAAAAAAAGACTGAAAGAAAAAACATAAAATTGACAAGAAAAACAAACTGCAACAACAATGTCTGTCAGTCAGCCCAAAAATATTTGTGTGATCTTTATAATGTTTTTCTTTTTAACTAGATTTAGTTTGTAAAAACATTTAAGACTTTTAGTAATAATGACAATGAAGAGGTGTTGGGGTGTAGGGTGTAAAAATTAATAATTCTTTAACAAACATCAAGACAAAATTGGCTTAAATATTACCACCCACAACATTTTATCATAAAATGCATTTACATAGAGTAGATTTTATTTGTTTAGCTGTTTAACTCTAGAATTTCTAACATAATTTATGACCGAACAAGAAAAACTTTGTAGTTCAGAAGAATAGTTAAATGAGTTTAAAATTTTCAAGAAAATTCTCTTTTTTTATTTAAAACTATTTTAAGTTGCAGAATTTTATTCTCATTTTCCTTTATAGACCCTGTATTAGAATACATATTAATTTTTTTGTTCAATTGTCTATGTTTGTATTATGAGTTAATGCTAACATTGTTGTTGTTTTTCTTAATGTCATGTCAGACCCAAGTCCGTCTTCTCTCATTTACAATCTTTCATCATCAATGGCTCGTTAGTAGTCTTAAATAATAACCAAACAACTAACAAATGAACTCCAACTCTGCAAAAAGCATATTATTAATGTTTATTGTTATTGTAGTTAATGTTATTATAGTTGTTGTTGGTGTTTGTTTATGCTGATATTCCATGTTTAAAAAATCTGTTGAGATAGAAAGAAACACTTGTTTATGAAGAATTCTTATGAACAACGTATATGTACTTTATTTTGAAGACCCTGCAAACGCTATATATCGTTAGTAATTTCTGAAATTGTATTCTTTGTAAATACATATTCTGAATAAAAACTTATATGTAAATAGATACTTATACATACATATATGTATGCATGTCCTTCTTCTCAGGTCCCTAGAAGGTGCGACCATTTGTTAGTTAATCAATCTATTATGTAGCTGTAAGAGATTTGATTGGACCAACTCAATTTAAGCAAAACAAATTGCCTTTTAGGGATCTTGTGAAAATTTTGTATTGCTTGCAGGGTCTCTAAGATTCGTCTTTGCCGATCTTGTCACTCTTGTTTTTCTCTTTAAAACAATGTACGACAATATAGAAATATTAAAATATGTATAAAAATAACATGAATATTTATCAGTTCCAAGGACAGACTGATTAGAATTGATAGTTTCTTTTTTTATTGTAATGTATGCATGCAAATATGCTTTTTTCTCTCATCTTTTTTTTCATAATAAGCATTTAGGCGGGAAAACAAACAACACAGAAATGAGCACGAACTAAGAAAACAAATATTAATATAACAAAAACAATACAATATGCATAATTAAGTAAGAAAAATACAGAAATTTTGGAAGTAAACATATTCCGAAAGGCGACTGATATATTTTTTTTGTTTTTTTGGGTAAAATTCACTTTGTATGCAGAAAACGCCACAAATACCCATTAACTCTCTCACACAGTAGCACCCAACTCATCCCAAAAACAAATAAACAAAACAAAGGGAAGAATAATGATTGAAACAGACATGGAAAATTTAATACTATAGTACTTTTTGTAAAACGTTATATGAAGTACTTTTACAATACACCTATCCCTCGTTTTGCACGATTTCGATTTAACACGATTTTTTTATTTCTCGTGTAAATCGAGGGATGAAAAATACCTCGTTTTGCACGATTTTTTTATTTAAATGAAAACAAGCTTTCGACACAATTTATTGTAAATAAATAACTAAAACAACATTTATTTACTGATATTTAACTATTTTATTAAAAATACAGATAATAAATATTATTCTGGCAACATTAATAATAGCATTAGAAAGGGAATTTCCCGTTTATGTACTTAAACAACATAAATACTAAAATTGTACAGGTTATTTAACAGTTTTTTAAAAATAACGATAATAATCAACGATGTTTAAAAGGGAATTCCTCGATTATGTAGGTACATATACTGAACTTGGTTGAATATAACTTATTTTTTTGCTTAACGGCCTATGTATTGATTTTTTGCTCATAATATTTTTGTATGTATATTTTTGGGTTTTCTCCAATTTGTATTGCATTTAATTTTTAAGTTTTATGAATTTTATAACTATTTTGGTTGTTAAATAAAATGGAATTGTTTATTTTTGTTTGCTTTGTTATGTTATTCACATTAAAACAAATAAAAGTATATTAAAAAAATACTATATATACCAGTTTTTGTAATTTTTTCGATTTACACGATTTTCCATACAAATTTTTTTGAATTCGTTTTACACGATTTTTTCGGGAACGTATCTATCGTGCAAATCGGGGGACAGGTGTATTATGAACTTTTCTAGTTCTAGTTTTCTAGACTAGTCATGGGTCAAACTAGTTCAAAGATATGTCAGTAGACTAGTTAAAAGAACTGTCAGTGGACTAGTTCAAAGATCTTTTAGTAGACTAGTTCAAAGAATTGTTAGTTGACTAGTTCAGAGAACTGTCAGTAGACTAGTTAAAAGAACTGTCAGTGGACTAGTTCAAAGATCTGTCAGTAGACTAGTTAAAAGAATTGTCTGTAGACTACTTCAGAGAACTGTAAGTAGGCTAGTTCCAAGTACTGTCAATAGACTACTTCATAGTCTAGTCAACGAACCATAGTATAGACCATCGTCTAGTCAAATAGCAGTTAATAGACTAGTTCATGGTCTAATCAATAGGCCACCAACTAATCAATATACTAGTTGATAATGAAACAGTCAATATACTAGTACATAGTATAATCTATAGACTAGTCCATCGACTTATCAATAGACTAGTTTAAAGAACAATCAAGAGAATAGTTCATAGTCAAGTCAACAGACTAGTCCATAGACTAGTTCATAGACTTGTCTATAGACTAGTACATAGACTAGTCCATAAATTAGTCAATTACAATCAACTAGTTAATGGTTAGCAATAAGTAGTCAATACACAGACTAGTCTATTCAATAGGGTAGTCTATAGACCAAGCAATAGATTAGCCCATATTTTTAGCCTATGGCCTTGTACATAGACTAGGTCATAGTCTGGCCCATATTTTAATCAAAAGACTTGTACATGGTCTAGTTCATATCCTTTTTCATAGTCTAGTTCATAGGCTAGTTTATTCAATCAAGTAGTCCATAGACCATTCAATAGACTAGTCCATATTTTAGTCAATGGCCTTGTACATATACTATTTCATAGTCTGGCCCATATTTTAGTCAAAAAACTTGTACATAGTCATAGCCTCTTGCATAGTCTAGTTTATAGACCAGTTCATAGTCTAGTTCATAGACTAGTCTATTCAATCAAGTAGTCCATACACAAATCAATAGACTAGTCCATATTTTAGTCAATGACCTTGTACATAGACTAATTCATAGTCTGGTTCATAGTCTAGTACACAGACTATTCGAAAGACTAGACGAACGATTATAATAGACTAGTAATGGTGTGGTCCATAAACAAATCTACACCATAAACTGACCTATAGTCTAGGTATTACACTAAGTCCTAGTTTTATTTAAAAATTTCAATTATCCATGCCTGAATTGAATGGACATTAATATTCGTTCGTAATTATGGTATTCATCGTACTGTGTGTCGTGTACGTGTTGCCCAATATTTCAGAGAATTATGCCGACCGTTCGGACCTGTTTTATTATTATCTGTTCTGATTGCATTTCTGTTGTTGTTGTTGTTTTTCGTAATATTCGTTCTCAATAATTTTTCACGAATTACTTATTTTTTTTTTGGTATTGATAGTTGTTGTTATTTTTGTTTTAAAAACTGATTGATGGCACTCGTCTTGCAACTGTTATTTTGGATTACAAGTGTTGCTAACATTGTGATTACTTTAAAGCTCATAAATATTATCAAGTATTTGAAAATACTTGTTTTAAATAACAAGTCAAGTTCGATAATAAAATAATTTCAACCAAAATTTATGTATTTCTTAGAAAAAGATTAGAATTATTTTCACAAAAAATGGGGAATAATAAAAAAATTCTAAAAATTCTTTTGAATTATTCTTCGGCTCATTTTTCTTTTGATATCAAGAAACTGTCAATGAAATTTTTTTTAACTGGAAATGTAACAAATTTTTTTCTTTTGAACCGATTTCTTTAAACCGATTATTCCAAATTCAAACTTCTTAATGTTTACCTAACTTGCACTACTCTACTGCACTATTCAGATGTACATTATAACTTGAATTGTATATTTATTTATTTTATTTACCATAACGAAACCATATTTGTATTAATGTTTGGAATTTCAAATGTAATTTCATGTTTTCTTTAACGTATAAAACGTGATCTTTATAAAGAAAAAAAAATATACAAAAAATAGAATTGTGTTCCCAATGGACAAAATAAATCGTAATCATGATCGTAACGAATAAGTGCTACTGCAAACACTCACATACTATGTATTTGTAAAGGCCTTTTACTAATATGCTTAAGGAATATTTAATTATACTCAAAGCATAGAGACAAAAAAAGGGATTTCATAATAAGCCTAACTCTTCTCTCCTCTTCACATCTTTTACTTACCTTGATCTAATCTACGTTCCATGCGTCGCCATTGTCGCATATGATGTACTAGAATACAAGCGGCTACAATGAAAAATAAAAGACATGCCAAAACAGCCAAGAAGAGTGCAGCCGTTTGCCAATCCATTGGATCGGCCTCATCCTGTAGCTGTTGCAATTGTTCGGCGGTTAACTGGTGGTGGTCTAAGCCATAATCTAAACCATCAAACTTTCGTCGCTGTGAAGAAAAAAGGAAAACAAATAAATTAATGTTAAGAAATGCCAAAAAATAATGTTTTTTTGTTTTTGTAGATTTTGAAATTTATTAGGGTGGTACAAAATCTTATTCGCAAGAAACTATAATGTTTAATTCAGCCAGAAGAAACACAGTTTAACAGGTTTTTATTGCTATTCACCTAGCTGAATTTGAAAAAAAAAAACATATTTCAGCTAGTAAAAATCTAATTCAGCGGGTTAAATTAAGTTTGCTGCTTTTGTATAAATTTATAATGCAGTTAGCAAAAACCTAATTCAGCTAACTAAATTAACTTGAAAGTAAGTGTCAGCTATATTTTATTAATAATATAGTAATTTAACTGATTATAAAAGGTATTCAGTTAGCTGAATCTTTAATATTTTGTAATTTTCTGAAAATGTTGCAACATTTTTTATTAATTTTAAAGGTCTTCAGCATAATTTGAAATTCAGCTATTTAAAACCTAATTCAGCGCGGTAAATTGTTAAAAAATAAAAAATGTTTGTAGTACATACTAAATAATAAAAAAATTCTGCTGGTTGTTACTACTATTCAGCTAGCTGAATTTATAAATTTTTTTAATTTTCTTAAAATTCAGCAAATATATTTTTTATTTTTAAACAAATATTTGCAATTCAGCTATTAAAAACATAATTCAGCTCTCAACAAACTTTTATAGTTTTTCAGCTAGCTCAATCTATAAAATTTTGTAATTTTCTTAAAATTCAGCAAAGATATTTATTATTTTTAAACAAATATTTGCAATTCAGCTGTTGAAAGCAAAATTCAGCTCACTAAATTAACTAAATTAACTAAATTAACTAAACAAACTTTTAGAGTTATTCAGCTAGCTCAATCTATAAAATTTTTTAATTTTCTTAAAATTCAACAAAGATATTTGCAATTCAGCTATTAAAAACGTAATTTAGCTCACTAAATTAACTCTAAACTAACTTTTTCTTTTATTAGTTCTAAAATATAATAATTCAGCTTAATATAATTGGTATTCAGCAAGTTGAATTTATATAATTTTACATTTTATTTAATTTAGCAAACACATTTCTTAATATTAAACAAATAATACAATTCAGCTGCTAAAGTAATAATTCAGATAACTAAATTAAGTTTTCTTTGTTATTAGTTCTAAAATATAACAATTCAGCTTAATATAATAGGTATTCAGAAAGCAAAATCTATAAAATTTTCCTAAAATTCAGCAAAAATATTTCATAATTTTAAACAAATAATGTAATTCGGCTTCAAAAACATAATATTCATTTATATTTCTTATTTGAAATAATATTTGCAATTCAGCTATTTAAGAGTCTTATTCAGCAAGCTGAATTGCCTTAAACATAAAATACTGTAATGTATACTAATTATAAACTTAGAATCTTAGCTGAATTATAATATAACTTTGCTAAATTGCAAAGATTTATTAGCTCAATTCTGTTAAAATGAAATGTTTGAGGTATTTTCTTAATAAATCACCAATTCAACTGAGTACTCCACTTATTATTTTGATAAAATTTATATTTATCATAAAAATAGCAGATTATAACCATAGTTTTGAGCTGAATAGCAAAATAATGATGCTATTGTAACAATATTAGTTTAAAAATGGCCAAAAAGGTAATATTAAAGTTTGCTGAATTAGATTTTTTTGTTAATAAATTACAAATCTTGTAATTAATCTTTAGCTGTTAATCATGTCATCAAATCAACTCACCTCCTTCCAATTGGGCTCTGTCTTCGACAAAACGACCCAATCAATTTTCAAATCATATATTGAGCCACACACAGTGTCTCGATGCATTTGACATGGCCTCAATGGTATCATATCGCCCTGGCACACAGTGCAGGGTATACATTTATCCTTGTACGGATCCCACCAACTTTGCGATTCACATAGGGAGGCAGAACATAAGGAACATGTCGTTGTTAATATTAAAAGTGTAACACAAGCCGCTGTTGATGGTCGCAGACAGCCGCCCCACCAACACCACGACCTCCTCCTGGTCATCGTGTCCAAAGGCATATTTGTATTTGCAACGCTGGTATTTTGTGTATATACAGATTTAGATTTCTTAACATTATTATTGCTATTTTTATTATTACAACTAGTTTTGTAACTGGTATACACCTCTTCTACCTCCTCCCGATATTTCGTAGACGTCTCCTTTCCCTCCTCTTCTTGATCCTGAGTACTGCATTGGTTAGAGGATTCTAGTCTACTTTGGATCGAACATGGTTCATTTGTGTTTGTTGTCTCGAATTGTGTTCGGCTTGAGGAGTTGTTGTTAACGAGAGGTGTTATTTTAAGATTTGTTAAATGCGCGGGTGTGTAGCTGTTGTTCATCGTTTGTTTGTTGTTGTTGTTGTTTTGTTAGATGTCGTCGTTAAATTTCGTTTCGGCATTAACTGTAATAAAAACAAAAAAAAATAACTTTATTTTACAATTTTCCCACGTTATCTTGTTGAATAAGTGTTCAAGTATTTCTACTTTTTTATTTCAAATTAGAATTTAGAAATTATTTTTTTTTAATTTTTTTGTACTAAACACGCACGATTTCTCTCCCTTTTGTTTTAATGGTTTCTAGTAATTTTCAACTTTAACGTATTTCCCTGTAAATGGGTGCCTGCATTTTAAAATAAATTTAATTCTTAAATGTGTACTTGGACTCCATAAATAAATGGGAAAATATGGAACTGTTTAACTGAATAAATATGTAAATTGTTATGTTTTTATGCGAAACCATTGCCGCCAGCCAGCATTTGATTTACAGTTAAGTTGTAAAGTGAAGTTTTTTCCCAGTTAAAGTTTTAGTTCCCATCGACTTAGTTTAGTTGTAGAGACAGTTTGTGTGAAAAGTGTAATAATATATAAACAAATTTAAAATATCAGGGTGCTGTTTTAACCTTCAGAATATTTTACGTTTAATGAAAAATTGGATCTTCTAAAATTTTCTATAAAAAGAGAATTTTTCTCGAAAATTTTCTATAAAAAGAGAAATCTTCTCAAATGTTTAAATAAAAAGAGAATTTTTGGAAAATTTTCTATAAAAAGAGAATTTTTCTCTAAAATTTTCTATAAAAAGAAAATTTTTTCTAAAATTTTCTATAAAAAGAAAATTTTTTCTAAAATTTTCTATAAAAAGAGACTAGACTATAGACAAGACTATAGACTAGAATATAGACTAGACTATAGACTAGACTATAGACTAGACTATAGACTAGACTATAGACTAGACTATAGACTAGACTATAGACTAGACTATAGACTAGACTATAGACTAGACTAGACTAGACTAGACTATAGACTAGACTACTAGACTAGACTAGACTATAGACTAGACTATAGACTAGACTATAGACTAGACTATAGACTAGACTATAGACTAGACTATAGACTAGACTATAGACTAGACTATAGACTAGACTATAGACTAGACTATAGACTAGACTATAGACTAGACTATAGACTAGACTATAGACTAGACTATAGACTAGACTATAGACTAGACTATAGACTAGACTATAGACTAGACTATAGACTAGACTATAGACTAGACTATAGACTAGACTATAGACTAGACTATAGACTAGACTATAGACTAGACTATAGACTAGACTATAGACTAGACTATAGACTAGACTATAGACTAGACTATAGACTAGACTATAGACTAGACTATAGACTAGACTATAGACTAGACTATAGACTAGACTATAGACTAGACTATAGACTAGACTATAGACTAGACTATAGACTAGACTATAGACTAGACTATAGACTAGACTATAGACTAGACTATAGACTAGACTATAGACTAGACTATAGACTAGACTATAGACTAGACTATAGACTAGACTAGACTAGACTAGACTAGACTAGACTAGACTAGAAGACTAGACTAGACTAGACTAGACTAGACTAGACTAGACTAGACTAGACTAGACTATAGACTAGACTATAGACTAGACTATAGACTAGACTATAGACTAGACTATAGACTAGACTATAGACTAGACTATAGACTAGACTATAGACTAGACTATAGACTATACTATAGACTAGACTATAGACTAGACTATAGACTAGACTATAGACTAGACTATAGACTAGACTATAGACTAGACTATAGACTAGACTATAGACTAGACTATAGACTAGACTATAGACTAGACTATAGACTAGACTATAGACTAGACTATAGACTAGACTATAGACTAGACTATAGACTAGACTATAGACTAGACTATAGACTAGACTATAGACTAGACTATAGACTAGACTATAGACTAGACTATAGACTAGACTATAGGACCTAGACTATAGACTAGACTATAGACTAGACTATAGATGACTAGACTATAGACTAGACTATAGGACTAGACTATAGACTTAAGACTATATACTAGACTTAGACTATACTATAGACTAGACTATAGAACTATACTATAGACTATACCATCGACATAGACTATGACTATACTATATCCTATACTTAATACTATATCTATAATCTAACTACTCCTACGAATACTCACATTCTATACTATATGCTACTATGACTAGACTAAAGGCTAAACTATATTGACTTATAGACTAGACCCATAGATTGTCGAAAATTTTCTATAAAGTGCATAATATTTTTCTGAAAAAATTTTCCTATAGAAAAAGAGAAATTTTTCTTCGAAAATTTTATATAAAAGAAGAAATTGTTCCTCGAAAAATTTTCTATAAAAGATAATTTTTCTCGAAAATTTTCTGTAAAAAGAGAATTTTCTCTAAAAAATTTCTATAAAAAGAGAGTTTCTCTCGAAAATTTTATTAAAAAAAATTTTTTCTCGAAAATTTTGTATAAAAATATAATTTTCTCGAAAATTTTCTATAAAAAGAGTGTTTTCTCGAAAATAAAAGAGAATTTTCTCAAATATTTTCATTAAAGAAGTGTTTTCTCTAAAATTTTCTATAAAAGAAGATTTTTTATATACATATGTATGTATTTTGTAGGAAAAAATAGTTTTCAAAAATTGTGATTTTATAGTGAATTAAAATTTTATTAAAACTTTTTAATATTCTTAACATTTAACATTTTCTAACAAGCAATAAATTAGAGGATATGGTAATACTTTATTTGGATTTAGTAACATAAAAGGAGCGATTTTTTTTATTGGCGCTTTAATTTTTTTCGGAATTTATAGACATTTTTGGCAAATCCAAAACCACATGTTCGAAACACTTTAAATGTTGTACATTAACAATAGAAAAGCCATTAAAAAAATCATATTTTTTTTTTTTTTGTAATAAACATTTTTAATTGTTTAATCATGCTTTAACAACATAAATACTTGAAATCTTAATAAGTTTTAGTAAATTTTAATAAAATTTTTATTAAATTAAACAAAAACAAAAAATCTAAGTATTGCTTCACCATATTTGAAAATCTAAGCAAAAAAATACAAAAAAACTAAAATATGGTCATAGAAATCATAAATAAAGAGAGAGCAGCAAAAAAACAAAAAAAAAAACAGCACGCATATTAAAAAAAATTAAAGCTAAAACAACAAAAAATCATACGAAAAAAAGTATATAAAACAACAGGAAGGAATATTTAATTAAAATCAACCAACCAACTGGCAACAAACACACAAACAAATATCAGCAACATATAAACGCGCGGAGCGGCCCGCGATCAGCGACCACCGACACCGAGTTTTCAAAAAAAGAATAATGATACTAATAAATACAACATGGTTTTTTTACTACTTGCTTTTACTATATGTACCAGATATCGTACATATTTATTATTTTATTAGATATTTAACTGCAATATGTTTAAACTGATACTAAATAAATTGTATAAAATTTCAAATAAATATTTAAAATTGTAGGTAGTCACTCTAACTAAAACTGACTGATCAACCGACCACAAACTAACTGACTGACTACATCATCATCATAATCATCATCAACCATCCTACTATCTGGTAAAATGAAAATTTAACCCACGAAATACATAAATACTCGCACTATAAATTAGCAAACAGAAAAATACAACAAAAAAAAACTTAATTTTTTTACAGTATTTTTGCGTAATGCGGTTTTACGTTAGACACAACTTTTTCACTCGTTGCCGTTTACCATGACATACCCCAACAAAAGTCATGTTAGTTTTCTTTAACGTTTCCCTAGTTTTTTTTCGTATTTTTTATATATTTTGTTCTTCCTCTACTTTACATTTATGGATTATAAATTTTAAATCGCTAAAGTGTCGAACGCCAATCAATTGACAAAAAAAAAAAACATTAAATAAAAATAGAAACTGAAAAAAACCCATTTGCCATAAATATTGTTTTAAACATAAACTTTTCTATGCACTTGTTGCACTCCCCACTCCATTGCTTACTTTAAGCTATTAAAGTGTGCGTTTAAGTGCCAATGAACTGAACTGGGTTTTGCGTTTCCCAAATGCATTAAAGCCTTACTTTGTTGTTGTTGTTCTTTTTTTTGGTGTCTATGATACAGTAAAGAAAATAATTAAACGGGAAGCTTTAGTTTTTTCACATTAAACTTCGGACTTTTAAGCGAAAATTATATCTGAAAATTATCTATATATAGGGATTTTTCACAAAAATTTTTCGTAAGTAGTGAGGTAAAGGGAGAATTCAAGAAAATTTTACAACAAACACTTTCTCAGAAAGGTCGAAAATTTTCTATAAAAAGAGAATTTTTTCGAAAATTTTCTATAAAAAAGAGAATTTTTTCGAAAATTTTCTATAAAAAAGAGAATTTTTTCGAAAATTTTCTATAAAAAAGAGAATTTTCTTGAAAATTTTCTATAAAAAAGAGAATTTTCTCGAAAATTTTCTATAAAAAAGAGAATTTTCTCGAAAATTTTTTATAAAAAAGAGAATTTTCTCGATAATTTTCTATAAAAAAGAGAATTTTCTCGAAAATTTTCTATAAAAAAGAGAATTTTCTCGATAATTTTCTATAAAAAAGAGAATTTTCTCGAAAATTTTCTATAAAAAAGAGAATTTTCTCGAAAATTTTCTATAAAAAAGAGAATTTTCTCGAAAATTTTCTATAAAAAAGAGAATTTTCTCGAAAATTTTCTATAAAAAAGAGAATTTTCTCGAAAATTTTCTATAAAAAAGAGAATTTTCTCGAAAATTTTCTATAAAAAAGAGAATTTTCTCGAAAATTTTCTATAAAAAAAATAATTTTCTCGAAAATTTTCTATTAAAAAGAGAATTTTCTCGAAAATTTTCTATAAAAAAGATAAATTTTCTCGAAAATTTTCTATAAAAAAGAGAATTTTCTCGATTATTTTCTATAAAAAAGAGAATTTTCTCGATTATTTTCTATAAAAAAAGACAATTTTCTCGATTATTTTCTATAAAAAAAGACAATT